TTTGCAAGTGGAGAGAGACCAACCGCCTGCCAATGTGACCCAGTTTATGATAGGATTAAATTTGATTTTATTTATAAAGAGGTTTGATATCCTTAGCTGCAAAGTGCTTGCCTATTAATAAAACAAGCACATTAAGAAGGTCGAATTAGAGTCCAGTGTTACTCATTTTGCTACGAATCACCCAATGGCTTCATTTGTTAGGAGATGATGCAATATTGTTGGAATATTGGATTAGATGGTCAGATGGCAGTCAAGAAAGGAAGATTTTAAGATGCAATCAAGCTCAGTCTTCCCTCTCCTCGCCTTCATTCAAGGTACCAAGTCAGTCACAGGCCTGAACAAGCCAGCGCTGGCCCTCAGAGCCACAGCTCACTTAGGTCCACTCCCTAAACCTGATGCTTCCCCAAACTCTTACTTCGTCCTTCCATCCAGAGCAACTGTCCTTCCAGGAGCTTCACAGCCCGGCACAACCTTAGAAGGATTATTTATTTCTGAATTCACAGTCCCTTTGACTATCTGCCTATAGTTGGCCTTGCTGCTACTTAACTATAATTTTACATAAATAACACTGCCCTCCCCTCTCTTTCTCACTGAAAGGTTGTATTGGAAGACCAAGCATTGTATTCTTCTGAATTCCTCTTAACATCTTCCTTGGAGCCTTGCACACAAAAGATGCTCAATGCTATGTGCATGAAGTCACTTTCCAAAGATTTTACTGAGCCATTAGCAATCTGCAAAGTGCCTTCACCCTTATTGGTATGAGTACCATAAAGAACACTGACCACTTCTTGCTTGTGAGTGAGGACACCTCAGAGCACTGGTCCAGTTAGTATGGGGTCTATTGTTGTGGCAGGTTCTACTACACCATGATCAAAAAATTCAAGGGACTTTGGGTTTTTAATCCTGTTTTTCTATTATCTGTCTGCAGAGTTTTGGACAGCTTTTTTCTTAATGATCACATTTCAGAAAGACATTAGAAACATATGTTATGAAATTGCTAGAGAAAAAAATGATAGCATTTCTTCAGTACAAACATAGAGGATACTCTTTATCGAATGAATGGATACATACATTTACAAAATATCAAACTGGGCCTCCCCGGTGGCACAGCAGTTGAGCACTGGGTTGGGAAGTGCCCGCAGCCTCTGCAGCACCGCTTCGATCCCCAGCTGCTCCCCGGCCACCGGCCACCGGAGGAGGGTCCCACATGGTGCGCAGACCTCTCCTGCCGCCCACTGCTCCCCTCAGCAGTGTACTTCGGTCCTTCTGCCTGTTCTGCTCCCTGCTCTGGCCCTGGTGAATTCTCTCACCCTCCCGTGCTTCTGACTGTACCCAGTGCTTGCATAAATAAATAAATAAATAGATAGATAGATAAATAAATAAATCTTTAAAAAAAAAAATCAAACTGCTGGGTAAACACTATCTAAAAGGGAGTAACAGTTTCCAGTGAATACTTTCAACACTTTACATTCCCTCCATAGTTCTCACTCATGTCTATGGTTTTATTTGTGCCATCTTTTGAAACTTTGCATCGCATTTTCTGGAGACCTGAGATTGAAGGAATTATGGTAGTTCATTGTAGAGTTAACCAAGAAAAGTGGTAGTAAGCCAAGCTGGCTGTAGGAGGGCAAACAGCTGGCTTCCCAAGGTCACCCGGAGAGAGAAATAGACAGAACTAACCAATGGAGTTGGCCTGGGGCATCCTGGACAGAGATTATGGGGTTCTAAGCTTTCCTATGCACCGCTGGGGAGGGGAACATAGAATCCTAGGGAATTGTCCTGTCTCAAAAAGCACACCTTTTAGGTATAATTTGTTTGTCAAATCTTAATGACAAAATGGGTCGTTTTTAATAACACTTCATTTTATAGCTTGGGCCCACATACACATAGCACTTCCTATTTTATACAAAACTTGTATACTTTGTATCTCTAGTATATTTTGTCTACACTGCCAATGGACCATTTTATATTCACTCCACCTTAAAACAAATGCTGTAACCTGCTAGCCATCAATCAAAATGTTGCCTGTATTTCCTGCATCATACAGTGTCTTAAGCAGGCGTGTCACTGACCCTGGGAGGGTTTCAAACTTTTCACATATCCAGGACTGAGAAAAATAAGTGAAAAGAAAACAAACCCTCATTATGTTTTACTTCTTTGTCATGTTGTACATGCCAACATATTTTCTTCTAAACGTCCATTCTTGGAACCTTCTCTTATTACAGGAGTGGTGGTGAGTCACAGTTAAGGGAACTGTTGGACTTGCTCCACCCATTAGGACAAGCCAAACCATGGACAATCTTGGATTCTCAGGGGGTTATTTATTGGGGGGGGCAGAGAGGATGAATTTGATCACAATTAATATGATCATTGGGTACAGATGTTTATTCATGAAGGTGATCTCAAAGTAAAGCAAGCAATTTCTTGGTCTGACGGTATTAAAATTCAGCCAAGTGTCCACCCAGAGGGCAAACCCAGTTCCACAAGAAATTAAAAGTGGGTGACCAGAGTGTGATGGGTCAAGATTGGAATACATTGACAGGCTTGAATGAGAGATCTGGAGCCAGACAAAAGGGTGTGTGCTCAATGACAGGATGGGGAGTCTGGGCAGAATTACAAAGGGAAGGGATAAAGCGGCACTTGTGTGCTTCTTGCTTCTCTGAATCCCAGCTTTTTCATTTCCTTACAATGAGAATTGCATTTGCAATTTAATATAAACCCAGACACTCAGTCACTCTTACAAAACCCACTGCTCATAGCCAGAATTACTCTTCAGCAGAACTGTCACATGGAGAATGCTGGGACACTCCAGAATTTTTCCTCCTCCCATAAGATCCTTTATCCAGATCTTTCTCTAACCATGTTTTAGCTGCTTCCTTTAGTTTGGGGTTTTCTTTTTTTTTTTTAATTATTTTCCAATTTTCTGACTGCTTTTTTTTTTTTAAGATTTATTTTATTTTTATTTATTTATTTATACAAGCACTGGGTACAGTCAGAAGCGCGGGAGGGTGAGAGAATTCACCAGAGCCAGAGCGGGGAGCAGAGCAGGCAGAAGGACCGAAGTACACTGCTGAGGGGAGCAGCGGGCGGCAGGAGAGGTCTGCACGCCATGTGGGACCCTCCTCCGGTGGCCGGGGAGCAGCCGGGGATCGAACCGGCGCTGCAGAGGCTGCGGGCAGTTTCGCAACCCAGCGCTCAACCGCTGTGCCACCGGGGAGGCCCTAGTTTGGGGTTTTCAAAGTGTGATCTTTGAATCAGCAACATCACCATTACCTGAGCACTTCCCAAATGCTGGTTCCCAGGCCCGCCCAGCCCCCACTAATGCAGGTGGGGAGAGAAATGTGTGTTTTCTGAAGCCCTCCAGATGATTCTGAAGCACACTAAAGGTCTGAGAGCTGTTGCTTTAGATGATATTATAAAATAATGACTTTAAGATGAGAGCATATGTATTTTAGGAGAAGACTTGTAAAAAAGACAAGTCACTAAGTGCCACATGAATCATTTCCCAGTAGTGTAATCACAAGTCAACTCTTCCTCAACTCATGATAGGCTTACATCCTGATATATCCACCCGAAGCTGAAAATATCATAAGTGGAACATGTATTTAATAACACAACCTACTGGGGGGCCTCCCTGGTGGCACAGGGATTAAAGAGACAGTGCTAACAAGCTATCTCCAGCCACTGCAGCACCAGTTTGATCCCCCAGCCAGCCAGGGAGCTGACCCACTTGGCGCAGCAGACCTCTCCTGTCTTGCCCTCTGCTCCCCTCAGCAGTGTATTTCAGTGGATCTGCGTGTTCTGCTCCCCACTCTCTCTGGTGAATCCTCTTACCCCCTGCACCTCTGCCTTATACCCCAGTTCTATACATAAATAAATATTTCAAAAAAACCCACAACCTACTGAACATCAGAGCTTAGGCTAGCCACCTAGCTTGAATGTGCTCAGAACATATACATTAGCCTCCAGATGGGCAAAATCATCTAAACAAAGGCTATTTAATAACTGTTGAACACTGATGTAATTTATTGTATACTCTACTAAATAGGGAAAAGAATCTGCCAACTGTCGGTTGTTTACCCTTGTGACAGCAGGTTGACTGAGGGCAGCCAATGCCCAGAATCACTAGAGAATAGTGTTCACATTTCACTAGCAGAGGAATATATCAAAATTCAAAGTATGGGTTCTAATGGCTGTGTATTACTTTTGCACCTCTGTAAAGTTGAAAAATCATTAAGTCAAGCCACAGTAAGTCAAGGACCATGTATAAAAATAAGAGATTTGAGGTTGCTATATATTCAGGCCCTCATCCTCTTGTCTTAGACTCACTGATCTCAATCTTCTGTCATGTCGCCACTAGAAGTATGTGCTCAGCCTGAAAATCTGATCATGTCAAACTCCAGCTTAAAATCTTCCCCGTGGCAGTTCCACATCCACAGGATAAAGTTCTAAACCCCTATCACCAGACCTAGGGCCCTTCACTGTCTGCCTCTGGTGAACTCCCCAGGCTGGTTCTGCCTGCACTTTGCTTCCCCCTGGATCATAGCTCACTGTCTTCAGGAAGCTTAAACTTCTCTACACTGGTGACATCAGACTTGGCCGTGCAACTTCTCTTGGCTAACAGCAAGAGTGTTCAGGTTATGTCTGCTACTTCTAAGGAGATGTTAAATGCCGTAGGTTTTATTCTGTTTTCCTGTTTTCCTTCCCCAGTAAATGAGATCAGTACTGTCACAGAAAGAGGCTGGTTGTAAGCTTCAGTGGGTCCAAGAATGAAGGCGGATACGGAGCAAAACCAAAAGAGACCTACACTGGACCGTAGCAGCCCAGAGAATGAAACCTTGGTGGTGAATGTTAGCTATTGAGACTTGGGGGTTACTTGTGATTTAGTCTAAGCTGATAATTACAGTGCAATCTCACCCCTATAAGCATAAGAGACTTGCTCATCATTCTAAACTCAAATCAAGTGTTATTCCCTCGATCAGTTCTTTTTCCTTTGCCAGGTACAGCTGATCACTCTCAACTTTGGAGAGTATCTGGAATCTACAGACCAGTCACTATGTCGCTGGAACTGCGCGAGGGGCTCTCCATTCATAGTCCCATCCTCAGAACAACTCTTAAAGAGAAAAACAACGAGGCTTCATTTTTCAGAATAGGGAGACTTTGGCACAGAAAAGTGAAGCAACTTGTCCGAATTTCCCAGTCATTAGTCATAGAGCCAGAGCTCTCACCAGGTGCGGGTCTGGCTGGGGAAACCAGCAATCTTTGCCCTGCCCCCACCCCATGCTGTCTCCTCTTCCAGCAGCAAGCTTCCAGATCTCCCATTCTGGAGGGGAGTCAAGTCTCCTTATCAGCAACTGAAAGGGATTTGAAGATTTGCATCTGCAAGTGGGCTGCTTACCCCTTGAAAAGATAATCAATTTCTCTAAGTGGATACGTTTTATTGGAAGGCTCCCTGGCAAAAGCACTGGAAACGCTAGGAGAACTGGGGTCTTTTTGTGCTCAGGTCACAGTCTATGGGGTAAGTGTGGTGCAATAAGACAGGCAAGATTGCACTGACATCGCCCTAGAGAACCTCTGGGAAGGTTCCTGCATCTGTCACGGGGTAGAAGACCAGTGGCAGAGGGTTCAGAACTCCAAGCAAGCAGGCTCCACACTGACTTTTAGGCTTTAACACAAAAGTGAATGCGCTCAAATGATTATCTGACTCCTCAGATTAAACCAGGAAAGAAAAGTGATCCGGTGGCAAAGAACCAAACCAGAACACCCAGATCAGACAGGGAACAAACACCTGAAGTGACAACTCCAAATTCACGGTTCTATGAGCCACTAGCACGTTGCTGGATGATTAGGGGTTTTGTTTGTGTTTCTTTTTCTTTGTCTGCCTTTTCTTTTTTTAAAAAAAAAAAAACCTGTTTTTTATGGCAATACTACAAAGCAAAAGAATCTTTAAATACCACCCCTCCCCCCATCAGCCACACTAATGAAAGACAAGCATTCAACAAAGTGTCATGGTATTCTTTTCACACAACATTCATATCAATTTTTTCAAGGGTCATAAAGATTTTCTCAGCTACTAGCAGGAACCCACTGATCTCTCTCACTATTCTAATGGAGCACTTTTTGTTTGTTTTTAAGCTCAAAGGATGTAATACCTAAAAAAGAAACCCTCCCTAACGTTAATAAGAGCATTTTCCCTCCAAATGTAGAAAGCTGTTCAGAGCTCCAAATGGCGCTGGACCTGTTTGCACACGTCTGATTTATTCTTTAAAAGACCATCCACGGGGTATAATACACAATAGAGCCGGCGTTTGCGGAGTGCTTAGTGCTGCGTCCTGTGGGGCACTGGCTCACTGAGTCCTCAAACCAAGGCTAAGGGGCAGGAGCGGTCACTATCGCCACTTGACAGATGGGGAGAGCGAGGCCCGAGAGCAGCAAGGACCTGCCTAATAGGAGAGACAAGCAGAGGCCAGTAGCTGTAAGACCACAGTTAATGATTCACTCACCGCCCTCAGGCTGTCCTTTCAGGAGGGATTGCACACACACACACACACACACACACACACACCCAGGCTGCTCCTTTCAGCAGAGGTTGCACCAAGAACACACATGCATGCGCGCGCACACACACACACACACACATATATGCAGGCTGCTCCTTTCAGCAGAGGTTGCACCAAGAAACATACATGCATGCGCGCGCGCACACACACACACACACACACACACACACACATACACGCTCCTCTTTCTCTCCAACTCTTCATCCAGGCAAATTGCTTGGCAACGCACAGAGGAAACTCCATCCAAAGCCCGAGTCCGCGGGGTCCGGGCGCCGCTGGGCGCTGTCCAGCGGGCAGCGCGCCTGAGAGGCCAGGCTGGGGTCCTGTCTCACGACACCCCAAAGGGGGGACTGAGCGCCAAGGCTGAGATTTCAGACGCCGGGGGGTGGAGGTGGGGGGAGAAACCGTCTCCAGGGACACCTGTTGAGGCCGCCCTACTCCGGCCAATGAAGACGCCCCGGGAACCCGCATCTCAGGGAGGGCGCGCGTTGGGCAAAACAGTGTCCACGTGTGGGTGCGGGGTGCAGGTGTCACCCATCCACCCCCGCCCGCCTTCGGCGAACTCACATCACCCCTCCCACTCCTGGGCGCCCGGGGCGGGGGAGATGCCCGGCGCCCCGGAGCCGCGGCCGAGGCCGGCGCGGGAGGGGGGCGCCCCGGGCTCCGGGCAGCCCCGGGGCGCTGGGACCTCGCGGCGAGCCCGCCCCCCGCCCTCTCCACCTGCGGAGCCCTCTCGCGGGCCCCGATCGCGCTCGCGCGCGGGGTACGGCTACCTGCGACGCCGCCTGCTGGGTCCAAACGCCGGCCGGAAGGTCGCCGCGGCGAAGGCGGCTCGGCTGGCCCGGCTGGCCCGGGGATCCCGCCCGCCGCGCGCCCTGGGGCCCCGCGCCGCCGCCAGCTCCCGACTGCGGGCTCGCCCGGCGCCCGCCGGCGCCCCGCCGCGCTCCCGCCGCTCCTGATTGGCCGCGGCGCCCGCCGGAGCGGCGCTCTGATTGGACAGCCGGGAGCGGGGCGGGGGCGCGGGGGGCGGAGCAGGCGGGACCGCCCGGGGCACCCCCAGTGCCGCAGCTTTGCGCCCCCGCTGCACCCCGGGGTGCGGATCCAGAGGCTGTCGCCCGGATCCTACGCCTCTGCGCTGAGCGGGCCCCGCGGTCCAAACACCCGGGGAGCCCAAAGAGTGGCTGCGAAAAGTAGGGGTGCGGCAATTGGGGATCGCCTTAGAGTCTGTCGGGTGCCCCGGCTTCGGCGGGGATCGTTGCTTCTGTGGTCTCGCTTTTACAGGGGTTTTGACTTCATGTTCATTTTGAAACTTGCTATAAAAAGGAGCGTTTGGCGTAGGGCAGTGACTTGTAAACAGTAGGCGCCAAATTGTGGTTCAACTTTACGCACAATTTCTCTGCGGGCCGGAACTCCCAAAGGGAAGGAGATTTAAATTATTAAGTGTAAGAAAGACGGCGCGATCTTAATTTAGAAGGAACTTAATACCTAGCAAGAGAGATGAGGTACCATCATCATTGTGCCATTTCCATATTATTTGTTGGCATTTTCCCAAGTGCTTTGCAGCTATAAATTCAGAAATACAGCAAACAGCTCTCGTAAGTCCCATGGAACTTGTGGGACAGTGATCTCAATTTTGACATTTGAAAAATTTTCATTTGGGAAACGCACGGCAGTGACTTCCCTTTGCAGTAGAGAAGCACAAGGTAGAATGGAGACAGTGTGGGGAATTAAAATTGTTCCCATCTTTCTTTTCTCCTCCCATGGTCCTTTAGCCCTCTCAACTTTTCCCTCTACCTGCACTGAATCTTTTTTTTAATAGTGTTTTTTTTTTTTAAGATTTATTTATCTATGCATACAAGAGCTGGGGTACAGGCCAGAGGTGGGGGTGGGGTGGAAGAGGATTCACCTGACTCAGAATGGGGAACAGAACAGGCAGACTGACTGAAATACACTGCTGAGGGGAGCAGCAGGTGAGACAGGAGAGGTCTGCTGAGCCATGTGGGTGGTTCCCTGGCTGGCTGGGATGGAACTTGTGCTGCAGTGGCTGCGGATTGCTCCATAGTTTGCGTCTTAACTCTTGTGCCACCAGGGAGGCCCTGCACTGAATCTTTTTAAAGAATTAAAACAATCACTATAAATCAGGGACCCATCAGAACTTTGTTCTATCACTCATAAAAGGAACTGCTCCCCTTTCAAGTACCTAGAGATAACTAAGTAGCACAATTTATAATTTAGGATCATTGCAATGGTTGCACTAATATCTTAAAAGCAAATATGGAACGGTTTTTCTGTAGGAACTTCTCCCTAATCCTATTCTTCTATGTTGACAGGACCCTGGAGGAGGATATTTGGCTTGGTAGAGAAATAGTAAAGGGAACTCTAGGGTAAAAACCCTAGAGAAAACCAGTTTGACCCACTCTGAGAGCCTTGATTTTCACCCTAGATTGAGTTTAAAGTCATGTATCAATACTTTGAGGAGTCAATGATTCTAGGAGGAAATTAGTTCCGTTTTCTCCAGTTTACATCGACAATGGACACACTATTTATTTTGGATCGAAAAGATGTGCTGGCCAAGGGTAGAGACTGACCCCTGAAGAATCCCAGAGCACAAGACAGAGGGGATGATTTGCTCACACATCAGAAGCACATGGAGGCATCAGCCCATCATTCCAGTTGCTCATTTTTCATAACGGTGGCTTTTGCCAAATCAGAAGTTCCCTTTGGAACTTCATGCTATGTCTCCAAAGAAAGCTATTTCAGCCAGAGAACTCAGCTGACCCAACATGATTTGCTAAATTGATAAATCCTGGTCACATCCCACTAAACTCAGTCCTCCAGCAGGATGAGAAGTGAAAGAAGAATCTGGAACCACAATATCCAGCCTGGAATTTTCTTGCAGGCAGGAACTGTTTGTGTATCTATCTACCCCCTGCCTCATCTAGCAAAAGGCTTTGCTTAGTTCTGCCACCCCCATTGATTTTCTTTTCTCTCTTGGAATTCTTCTTTGCCTTCAAGATTCAAAGAGAATATCCCTTTCTCCATGAGACCTTCATGAACACTCTGCAAAAAGGTAGTGAGCTATTTGCCCCCGTTATATCCTCATTACAGCATTAAGCAACAACATTCTAGTGACTACTTTACATGCCCATCCCTCCAAATAATTATCCCCATTGCCTGCCTTAGTAAGTAGAACATTGTAGATACTCAATAAAGCCCCCAGACAGGCTAGTGGGATGGCATTAAGGAGACAGGGGACATACCATTGTCCTGGTCAACATGGTATCCTGACATTTGATGTGGGTCACCCATCCAAGTCAATGACTTCCAACAGTAAATAGTTTCTGTATGTCACAACTGGTGGGTAAAGAGAAGGAAAATCTCTTAAATGTATACAAAATAAAATAATGTAGCTGAAATACACAGTGGTTTGGCAGTTCTGCAGAGCTAAACACAGAGTACCATATGACCCAGCAATCCCACTCTTAGGTCTAATCTCAAGAGAATTGAAAGCATGTGCACATACAAAAACTGGCACATGTATGTTCACAGTTGCATTATTCATAATGACTGAAAAATGCAAACTGCTCGAAAGTCCAACAACTGATAATCATGGCCATTCAGTGGAATATTCAGGCATAAAAAAGGCAGATATTGATACATACTACAATATGGATGAACCTTGGAAACATTATGCTAACTGAAAGAAAGCAGACACAAAGGACACATATTGGCCACATACTGTATGATTCCATTTAGTTGAACTATCTAGAATGGCCAAAGCTACAAAGACAGGGAGCAGATCAGTGGTTGCCAAGGGGTGAAGGAAGGAGAAATGAGGAATGACTGTGCAGTGGATATGGAGTTTCCTTTAGATGTGAAGAAAGTATTCTGGAATTAGATAGTGCGTTGCACAACTCTGAATATGCTAACACCTAATGAATGGTAAATACGCACACATATAGAGTCTGTGTTCTGAGAGTATAGAAACCATTAATGAAGGAAATATTAGTTAAATCCTAAAGTGCCATGGTTAAATGTGTTAAAAGTATGGAGGAACAAGAAAGTCTATAAAAAAGTTAAAACACTCCTCTATACATGTCCCTTCAGCAACCAAGAGGGGAGATACTCCTTACATCTGCTTGGTCCAGTTGAACATTCTGTGATAATGGAAATATTTCTTATCTGAGCTCTTCAATATGGAAGCCATTAGGCAGACATGGCTACTGGACACTTGGAGTGTGGTTGGTGCAACTGAAGGACTGAATTTTAAATTGTATTTATTTATTTTTTTAAAGATTTATTTATTTATGCATATAAGAACTGGAGTACAGGCCAGAGGTGTCGGGGGTGAGAGGATTCACCAGAGAGAGAATGGGGAGCAGAACAGACACACAGACTGAAATACACTGCTGAGGGGAGCAGCGGGCGAGTCAGGAGAGGTCTGCTGCACCATGGGGGTTGTTCCCTGGCCAGGCATTGAACTCATGTTGCAGAGGCTGCGGATAGCATCATAGACTGCCTCTTAATCCCTTGTGCCACCAGGGAGGCCTTAAATTGTATTTAAATAGCGACATTGTTTAGCTATACCTGTAGTGTAGCTTCTCCTGCTTTAGAGGCTATAACCATCTTAACATGCGGTTTTGAGGAATGCTAGAGGGTACTGCCATGGGAGAGACTTTAAGTCCACAGCTCAGCTCAACCCCGTTTCACTAGCAGTCCTTCGGTAAGATCTCACTGTTCCTACCCTTGTCCTGTCTATGAACTCTTAATGAACTTCAGTCAATATTAGTGTTTCATATTTATGCCAAGGTACTTTCATTCCACACATATTTATGGACCAAGTACTATGTGGAATTCTGGAAAGAGGAAGGACCGTAGACAATGTCAGCCAAATTCCAAAGGGTTGGTCTTGACAAAATGAAGAGGAAGAAGGGACAAGAGAAATCCCTGACAAGGACTTACCTGGTTCCTTTTCTCCTTCTCTCCAGCATCCCCCACTCATACACACACATATTCTTCCAAGTGGGAAATCTTGCTATTCAGATGCTGAAGCATCATGGAAGAAATTTTATTTGTATTTCCTACTTCCAACTTAAACCTTGTAAAGTCCTTAACTCCTTCAATGCATCCTCTAGGTCAGGTTGTTCTTTCCCTTCTAGAACTTTACTGCATTTGAAATCGATAAAACATAATGACTTTCTAAGGGTTCCTCTGGAATGTGGTGTCCCCACAGTAAGATTCATTTATTGCACAACTGTTTATTGAACTGCCTGTTTTGTACCAGAGCAGTCCTATGTACTGTAGACAAAAGGCATGAGTCAATGGGTAGCTGAGAGGTTTGTGAGGTGGCACCCAAAGGAATTGTTCTACAGAGTTTGTCTTAGATTTATAGAAAAGTCACTGAAAGCGCAAAGCAAGGAACAACTGACTGTGCATGGAGAAATCAGGGACCCCTTCCCAAAGGGGATATTTGAGCTAAAGGAACTTGAAGGATGAGTAAGAGTTTTAAAACCATTTAAAAATTTTAATTCATTTATACTGTCCACCTTCCAAAATTAGATCTGAAATGGCATGTCAGGAGACATCTGGGAGAACAATTGCTAAAAGAATGCATTAACATCAAGAGCCAGTTGAACATCGCTGACAATGGGGTGCATTGTTATTGAGGGTACTAACTGGACAGTCAGTCTCGCCACCCTCAAGGCTATTCCTAAGAGCAAAACAAAATGGATACAACATAAATGTAAATATAATATATAAAATATGATGCTCTCTGATTTCAAGGAATTTAAAATCTCTCACCTGCACTACTTCAATGCCATCCTTATTTGTC